TCCCAGCAATTTACTTTCCTCTCCTTCAGCTCCTCCGTTACCCCGACTCCCTCAAACCTTTGCACTGCTTCTGAGGGGTGCGGGAAATACAGTTCTGTATTGTAGTTTAAATTAATTATTACTGAGAGTTCTGTATTAATATGCTTAGTAAGGAATCTATTTGCCAAAAAAACATTTCCTGAATCTTTTTGGTTGTCTGTATTGTTACAGACATACCTGCTGACAGGTATTTTGAAATAAATTACCAAAAATAATTGAAACTGGTGTAATTATACTGTGTTATTTTGACAAAATATGCAGAATTTTAAAATATTCTGCACAGAATTTTTAATTTTTTTGTTGCAGAATTCCCCCAGGAGTAATTTATCTAAAGGCATCAGAGAATCCGCTCAGATCCTCATGCTGCAAACTTTGGTTAAGTGATGGCTGAATCCAGGTCTTAAAGAGCTAAAAAAGTGGATGGAGTCTAACCCCTCACCTGTCTGTCCCTCCAGCCTCATTGGTTCTGCCCCCTCCCCCTGCTTCAGGTCCTCTGGGCCTTGACCCCCACCCTTTCCCAGGCCATGGAGGGACAGGGTGGGGCAGAGGAGCCCTCCCATTGGTAAGGAGGGGAGGTTGCAAAGCTGCCCAGAACTGCTGGTCTCTTTAGTTCCCCCCAGGCCCCATCCCTTTGAGATCAGCTTTCGCTGCCTGAGGGAGGGGATGAGAGCTTCACTTACTTCCCACAGAAGCTCTGATTGGCTACTTACCCCCCCGAAGGTAGGGAAGTGGGCAAGCAGCCAATCACCGGGGCTTTGCCTGCCAGGGATGCAGGAGGAGCTGAGCACGTGCCCGTCAAGTGGGCCCCAGCCCAGCATAGGCATCACAGCCACCTTGGGCTGCGCTCTCTGGCCTGGGCAGCTCATGGGCCCAGCTGCCCATTGTCCTCACTCGCATGCAGGCAGTCACAGCGCAGGTCTTGCCCTGCCCCAGGGATCATCCAGCCCTGCTCTGGGGCTGCCAAAGAGCAGCCCCACCCCACCCTCCAGGGATCCCAATTACATCACTACCGGCAGGGATGGTCAAGGGGCAGCTAATCCTTTCACTTGGCCCACTGTAGCCCAGCTTGGGGAAGGCAATCTGGCCACCAGGGCCAGGAAGGAGGCAGTGTTGTGAGGGGAGGGCCCCACCTATTCACAGACACATATCAGGATGCTGGGGCAAGAGGCAATGGGCCAGAGCAGGGAGTAGGGCCCAGTCCTGTGGGACAGGAACTGGTCCAGGATGGGTGTGGGGCAGGCTCACTCTCCACTCACACACCCTGGAACTTCTGAGGTCCTGGCACTGACCGGCCCCTCATATCATCCCCTACAAAGGGCAGGACCCAATCCTCTGACCCCCATGTCAGACCCCTGAGGCCAGGACTTAACTGCCTCATCACACACGCCTGGCCCGCCAGAGGGCTTTAGTGGATTTTGTGGCCCTCTAGTTCCTTAAAGTTGCCCACCCCTTAAGTACAGTATCAAAGGCAACTAATAGAGCTTAGATTTGCCCCTAGGAACCCCACTTCTTGCTTTTCTCCCACACAGCCACAGCATAAGAATTCAATAAATGTCTGAGACAAGACTTCTGCTACAAGCACTGTAACAGTCGTCCCACCTCCACCTGTCTTGCGTCATCGGTAAGCCGGAATGTCCCCTGAAGATGAGTCTGGGGATGGGGCTCCATCAATGGTCTGCGACAAAAGATAGTCATAAAGTGCACTGAGCGTGATCTGCTGGTAATACCCTAGTCTCCGCTGGAGGGTACACCATCAGGACAGGTCCCTTGCTCCAACACTAGATCCAGAGTGTGGCTAGTTGTACAAATTGAGCCTTCAGCCTCCTAGGGGCAGAGAGAACCCCCGTCTCCTTCCCAAGGCAGCTGAGTGTCAGAAAGCTTCTGGTAGGGAGATGTGCAAAGGTCCCCTTGTGCCCCTGAGGTAAAAAGTGGGTGATCTGAGTTTGTTTCTGATGCTGCATTGTCTAGTGATATTAACCTATCAAGGAGTGGGGGGTGTTACTGTCATGTTAGTGGGAGGGGAGAGGCAAGACACTGTTGCAGGTTAGAGAGTTTTCTGCATGGCATGTCGACAGTGCAGCAGCTAAGCAGCTCAGCACATTGTAAAAGCTGCACCTTCAGCGCACTCACTCACAAAGACTTTTAAATGAATGCAGATTTTGTGGGTAATTACAGAATGGTGGAATTCCCCCTTCCCCAGGAGAATCCAACCAACACAGCTGGGGGCAACCGTCCTGCTGTGGAAAGTCCTCTTCAAACTGCTTCTCCTCTAAGTAGGTACACCCCAGAATGACCACAGCAGGAAAGCTGCAAAGTCACTATGTGGATCGCAGCCAGCAGTGGTGAACAATTAAGGTCCCAATAGGACTTGTCTGTATAGGTGCAAATAAAACAGAGGCTGCATTTTTCACTGCCTCTATTCAGCTCTGCGGCTTACAGCTGTCACCTGGGCACCTTCTCAGGTGATGAGCAGGTCCTCATCGCGTTGCTAGATGCCTTGGACTAATCACTGCACTGCACCCAGTCACACTGCCCAACCCCCCTCTAGTCAGCAGCTCACATCCCCCTCTCCAAGAATCTGCCTGGCCCAGCACTTTTCTGTGTAATGTATCTTAGGGAAACAACCCCCCCCCCCCCGAGTCTGTTGCCCGTCATAATATTCCACCAAGCACGTCCCTCGCCATCAGATCACTCACCCAATTTACCCCACTTAGCACATCCTTTTCCTGGAACACATGACCTTTGAGCTGCTAGACAGTGCTCTGCAGAGGAACAGATGCAGTGTGCAAACACTACATTCAACTTTGCAACAGTTTAACCTCCTGCTCACCAGCCAGGATTCCCCTGGGATGATCATCAAATCCTTCCCTCTCAACTGGAGTCCCAGTAGCTACCAGACCTGGGTTGGAATCTCAGAGTTCATATAATTGCATTAGCCAGGGCAGCCCTGAGGGGAAGCACTAGCTCTTCCTATCGAACCTCAGCCCCCTTCTCCAGTGTTAGTCTTTCTGCAGGGCCCCTGACTTCCCAGCCTTAGGAATGTCCCCAGAAACTCCTAGTCACCCATGCTGGGCCCTTTGTTCCAATATTCAGGGCTCTCCTCAGAGGAAATGAACTCTATATTCAACAAAGGAAGCTCAGAGCTTGTCTCTTCTAGCGCTTTTCCCAGCGTCTGCTGTGCTGTGGGTCCTGCTAATAGACAGTACAGGGGTTGTGGTAACAGACAGATCTTAGATTAGAGGGGCTAGTGCCTTGCCCCTGGGTAGCCTGGGTGAATTCTGTCAGTCTAACAAGTAAAGGTGCTTATTTGGAGACAAAAGCCCAGCTCTGTGGAGTTGCTCACTTGAAGGGATGGGTCGGTGATGGAGAACTGCCTGAGTAGAAAACATCGTGTCTTGTGCAGGTATAAGTCAGCTCCTACCCCCCCCCCCCGGGGTGTGTGTGGTATTATTAATTAGATCCGTTTGGATGGAACTTGGGAGATGGACAGGGATAGACAGGGGCTGACAAACTGACCAAATGTCACACTCTTTGCATCAGAACTCTTTGTTGCCAATTGGGCCCTGCAGATATAAATACCTGATACCAGAGATCAGACCATCAGCATGCTGTGCTACCCCCGTCCCCTAGAAATTCCCTCAGCCCAGCTTCTCTTCAGCAGCTCCTCTTTGCTGGATCTACATTTTCTCAGTGCTGCTGAAACGGCAGGGAGCAGGGTCGCTACTGGAAATGCTGACACAGGAAAGAGGGTTTTGCAGCTGCTTCTTGTTTAGGTGCCTGTGATGGTGCTAAAGCAAGTCACAGCCTGGGGGGGAGGCTTACTTCCTGCGTATGAAGTGTTACTCTCCCCAGGCCAGGCCCAGCAGCCACCTGTGCTCCGGCTGTAATTGTTATTTGTAGCATTGGGGGAGTGGGTGCTGCATAAACATGAGGACGTGGTTTCTGGCCCAAAGAGCTTCAAGTCTAAAACAATGTCAGCAGAAGGGTAAGAGAGGGATTATGTGCACATTCATGGTACTCAGAGGCACAGCAACACACGGGAATTAGGGTGACATGCTGGCTAAAGGTACCATGTCCTTGGAGGGAGATGCTCTCTAGGGTATTCAGCAGTAGCTGTACACTCCCATGTAACACATGGAGGGAGAAAATTGAAGCCAAACCCTGCATATGTTTTGAATGGGGGTTGGTGGGCCCTTCTCTGGGGGACCAGAAGACCAGCTGAGCTAGAGCTCTCTGAAGCCCAGAAATGAGTGCTAGAGCAGGGCTTTCCTTCCAGGGCTCCCCCCCATTAGTGACGGCAAGGGCACTGACCCATCCTGCTGTGCCTTATGTGGAGGACAGAACCCTTTTAGCTCTGCTGGTTGTTCTTTATTGCACGCTGCCAGAGCCACTGTTTAGAACATTCCTTTCTCCAACGAAGGCCAGTGATTGCAGAGCACGTGGTGGGGAAGCAGGCTGTGCTGTCCCCTTTCCATGATGTAGGCTGCAGTAATTTATGGCTTTGCACGTTGGCCCTGGGTGTGCTCTGCTTCTGCCTCATGGTGGTGCTGTGTTCACCACCACAGGCACAGCCTACAGTGCAGCTGTGATGCTAGCTACAGGCACAGTGCATTTTTGTTAGAGGGGCAGAAGCCCAGGCCAGGCTCTCAGGGGATTACAATTTCAAGACCCTTAACTGGCACAATTCAGCCAGAAAGGTTTTTCCCTCCGTGTTTTAGACCACAAAAAGCCAGAGCTAATGAACCTGTGAGTGCAGCCTCTGTGCGCTTGTCCCCAGGAGCCACGGTGAAGAGCAGGGTTGGACCTTCATCTCCAACCTTTAGGAATTAGCCTCCAATGAAAACAAACCCTCCCACGTGCCTCAAAGTGAGTGCAGTGCAGAACAGGAGACGCTGGCGACAGCTGGGCACCCTGCCAGTGAAGGGACACACTCCACGTCCACATAGATCACACTAGCCCCAGGCTGAGAAGCAATGTTTATTCTGGAAAGAGGGAGGGGGAGCAAGTGTGTCTAATTCAGCAATAGTGTCCCACGCTGCTTCTGCCAAGCAGGAGCTGGGACAGCAAGAAAGCTTTTACCTTTGTGCCACCGACAGTGTGTCTCCACTGCAGCAGGGAGTGAGCCTCCCAGCCCAGGCCAGATGTGCTAGTCAGGCTTGAGAGAGTGCACTACAAACACATGTGCAGTGGCTGACTAGCCCCCTTCCCTCAGCTACAGGAGGGTGGGTCGGTCTGAGCTGAGCCATGTCTGCCTGTCTGGGGTGGGAGGCTCTCTCCCAGCTGCCGCGGGGACACAACCTACATGCTACCTGCACTGAGACTCAGCCCCAAGGCTCTGTGCACAGAGGCCTGGCCCACGAGGCTCCAACACCACCCGACTGTAAACCTCAGCTCTGAGACAGCTCCTGCCTCTCTTCCCCCCCCGCCCTGTTGGAGTAGAGGTAGGAAATGGTCTAGAACAATATATCATTGCCATGCCTGCTGGCTTCCACTGCACCCAAGCAAAGGGAGGGCAGGGGGCTGTTGTCTACCCCATGCAATTCTTTGGTGTGTGACAGGGTTTCCACGGGGAGCAGCAGCAGGGGAAGGGAAGCTATGTAAACATAGATCAGCTTAGCCCCTTGCTGTAAACGAGTCACACAAAGCAGTGAGTGAAGTATTGATAGGCATCTGCCTGTGCTGCTGGTCCTGGAGTAGCTCCTAATGTAACTGGACAGAGGTTCAACACCCACCTCCATGGCTAGTGTCTGCCAGCCCAGGCATTTCTCCTCTCTCCCTTTAGTGCACCACCTTCCAGGGAGCTGGAGATGGGAGGGCATGTGACAGGTAAGTGGAGAGGGCAGGAAAAGAGAGGAAGAGTGCAGCAGGGCCAGAGGAGGGACAGGGGCTGCAGTACAGAGTGGAGAAAGTTTGCAGTTTGAGCTGGAGCACAAAGGGTGGTGAAGCTGGAAACCATCAAGGACTGATGTAAACATTGGGGAATGAGATGAAGTTAGAAAGGAACCATATGCATATGGAGGAATCCTGTGAAATCAGCTCCAAGGGAAGGGCTGACAGCCTCGCATACACAACTGGACAAGACACTGGGAAATGGGCAAATCCTGCTGGGGCCTGGAACCAGGTGTGACCTAAATGCGGGTTCCCCTTCCCCTCTCTGCCCCCAGGGCAGCAGGTAGAGAACATGCTAAGGAGCGGAGAAAGCGTTTCGGACATGGGATGAAAACTGAAGCATTCAGTGGTGGTAAGGCTGGGACTGGACCCTGTTCATAGGCAGCAGGGAACACTCGCTTGAGTGGAGGCTTTTTAAGCTGTTCATCCAGGAAGGTGCTGATGGAGGAGAAGTGGCCGGGGCCCCAACAGCGTGTTCAGAAGGGGGATGTTCGGATGGCCTGGTCTGCAAATCACACCAGGCACAGGAAGAGAGAGACATGTTCTGAGATCTGCATCATGCAGCTACTGAAATGTGAATTCTGGCTGAGGGGAAAGCAAGGCTGCTGCTCTCAGTGGAAGACAACTTTGAGCCAAACCCTAGTATGATGCACAGAGGGGACGGCTTCTACTCTGGGTGGTGAAGAAAAAGAGATGGGGATAGGAGCCATGGGGGGCCCAAGGCCCCGCTCTAACCGTCAGAGCCAAGTAGCAGCAGGATACTCCTTAAAATAAGCCCATCAAAATAAACTACTGCCCAGGACAGTGGTCCCCAACCTTTTTCGTCTGGCAGGTGCCAGACGATGAGCCATGGAGGACCGTGGCGGCGGACGAGCATCCGCCAAAATGCCGCCAACAAGCAGCGTCATCCAGAGGCATCGCCACCGAAATGCTCGTCCGCCAGCCAGTACGCGGGCGCACCTAGACACCCCGGCGGGTGCCATGACGCCTGCGGGCACCGCGTTGGGGACCCCTGGCCCAGGAGATTATTAATGGGGGTGGGGTGGGGGGCGGGGTTTAGCTTTACGGAGAAGCCAGCCCTCTGGCCAGAGGAGACGCTTTGTGTCCCTGACAACCAGCTGTGCCAGTGATGGAGCAACCACCCTCCCCCAAAGGGAAGGAAGTGCTAGTGACAGTGTTCCCACCCTCAGCTGGAAGTTAAGGTCCCTTCTCTACAGCTTTGCACCGCCCCCAAAGTTGCTGCAGGCCAAGAGCCAGGCAAGGGGCTGGGAACGCCTACGACTAGAGCTTTTCCTTTACAGAGTGAGAAGGAAGTGCATGCAAGGGGGCTGGTGCCTGGACGAGCCTCATCCCTTCAGTTCTTCTTGCTGTTGGGTGCCCAGCTGCTGCTGAACAGACTGACTTTGCTGGCAGAGGCCATGGAAACAGAGGGAGACTCCAGCTTCACCTTATCCAGAAGGGTCTTCTTAATGGCAGCTGGGGAGACCTTCTCCTGATCCGCTAGGTGCTGCAGCTCCCTGCAGGAAGAGTCTGTCAGTCAGTGGGAAGAGCAGAACCACAAAGGAGGAGGCATCTAGACAGAAAGGAGCAGCAGAACTCTGCAGCCTTCCCTTTGGGGCAACAGTTGCCAAGTGTCAGGCTGGCCTTACACCTGCTCACCTTGTGCGAATGCAGGACGCCTCCACGGCATTGATGAGCAGTGAGCGAAAGCCTCCACTCTCCAGGAAGTGCAGGGCATGGATGGTGGCTCCCCCAGGTGAGCAGACATTGTCCTTCAGCTGCCCAGGATGCTGCTCAGATTCCAACAGCATTTTGGCAGCGCCCTGCAGCAGGACAGGGAGGGAAAACATTGGTCAGATATAGGACCAAGAGGATTCCCAACAGTTGCGCGTTCCAGTTCCCTGCTGCTAGATAGCTGCAGTAGGCAATCGGCCCCTTTCTCACATTTGCAGGGCTACAGGAAACCCAGCTCAGAGTTGCAAGTCTGTAGAGGAGTAACGGCCTCGCTCTTTCCATCCCAGCCTCCCGCAGAGCATCAGCAACTCCAGTAATCTCCGGGAAATCCACCCAGCGCGACCTTTATGTGAACAAACGGTCAGTGTGGGCCTGATTCGATCCAGTTTGCAGACTGATCTGGATGGACCAGATGTGAACTGAATGAAGTCTAGAAGAGAAGATACTGACCAGTAAGGCCTGGGCTCCAAGTCGGACAGCTAGCCTGCGGGGAAGTCCCATCTTCACACCTCCATCTGCCAGAGCATCCAGGGCTGTGAATGCCTGAGAGACCAGAAACAGCATGACAGTGATTCTGAGGTTTGGAGATTACAGTGTGCCCTCAAGGCTGTGACATTCCCAGGCAGAAGGACAGTGCCCAAGGCTCTGGGGTCACTGTGGACCCCCACCACTTAAAGGGACCTGATAAAAATCACTCTTTGTTGAGGACAATCTCTTAAGCAAATGAAGATGACAGACTGGGCAGACAGGAACTCAATCCTCAGGCTCCCCAGCACGTGCTGCAAACCAAGCTTCACATCCACCCAGAGGGCCTCGGTCTTCAGCAGGGCGATTCAGACTCTGAGGCCATTCCATCCTTGGCCTCAGATGAAATTGCTGACAAGTGGCCCAATTAGCACCGTTTTTGTAATGTGGACTCTTGTCCACTAGGCACTCAACAGAAACCCACACTCATTACTCAGAGGCCAAGCATAGTCTAGCTGTTAACAGACTCTCATTGTTGAGCTGGCCTGGCTTTGAATGAGATACCTACAGGTTATAGATTACACACTCCAGGTGATTAGAAATTCAAATATATCCCCTTGGTCAAATCTGCAGCCTAATCTGATACCATTTTCAGATGCAGGCGTGTTCTCAGCATTTAAACCCCAATGTTCTCCACTTGACTTGCATAAACCAAGGAAGTGGCACCTACATAAGCAGGGCCGCTGCCGCTGAGCCCTGTAACAGCATCTATTAGGTCCTCTTCTACTTCAGTGCAGAAGCCCACACTGGCCATCAGCTGTTCCAGGAGCTTCCCATCTTCCACCTCTGCGTGAGTCCCCGTGGCATAGACGGTAGCACCTTCCCGCACGATCACAGGTGTGTTAGTCATGCACCTGATCACTTTTGGGGTGGGAGAGAAGGCAGAGAGTTTCTTGGGATGGGAAAGAGTTGGAGACAGAACGGGAAGGAGAGAGAGACGGAGAACCAGATTTAATACACCTTCTACATCTGGAGTAACCCCCCTCTAGGGAACTCCCAAAGGTCAGAGGGAATCCAGCAGGGTAAAGGACCTCTTCCTCACCCCAACCTCAGGCACCTCTGCAGGATGGTCCTCAAGATTCCCTCTGTTAAGCCTTTGCCAAAGGGGACGAGCCCTTAATGCAATGTCCCTGGGAATGTAGGTGAAACTCAGTTACAGAGTGCTGAGCAGACCCTGCCCATCCCTTGGTAGCAGAAGTATTATCATTCTAGCATGGCCCCTATAGTTTCCATGGGGGCAGCTCCTGCAGACATCTAACATAATGAGTTTCCATGAATGCAGAGGGTCTGGCAGCCCTCAGCAGGGAAAGACAAGACCTATTCAAGTTTCATATGATTATGGGGAACGGACGGGGACGATGCCGAGGCCCTATTAACACAGGCCCCGATTCTGGGATGCTTCCCAGACATTGCATGACAATCTTGCAGCAGAGGGGCTGGAAAACATATGGACCTCCCTACTGGCATAAGAAGGATTCCCTGGTGGTCCTGGGCCAGAATAGACCCACCCCCCTTTGTAGGACAGGGACATTCCATCTGTGTTGCTGGAATGCATAGCACTCTGACTATTCCAGGCTTCCAGACTGTCCCTTACGGACCACGGCAGCCAGGGAGTAAGTTAGTGACTGTTTTGGCTTATCCTGGGTATGATTAGGAGGTGCAAACAGGGCCTAGTGCAACCTTTGCTCCTCCAAAAATTGGCTGCAGTCCAGAAATGGGGCAGAGTCTCATGGGCAAATGGTGCTTAACTCATGAGCTGTAGTGCTCCCAGTGCCAGAAATTAACATTGTACTCAACTTCTGGCAGCTGGGAGAACAAGTCAGTCTCAGAGTCAAATACCCAGAGCTCCAGCCCTCTGAGAAAAGCTTTCTAGAGTTTTAGGGTATGTCTACACTGGAAACTTCAAAGCGCTGCTGCAGGAATGCTCCCACGGCAGCGCTTTGACGTGTGAGTGTAGTTGCGCGCGAGCGCTGTGAGAGCTCTCTCAGTTCTCCTGGTAATCCACCTCCATGAGGGTATTGGCTCCCAGCGCTCGGAGCCTGTCTACACCAGCGCTTTAAAGCGCTCAGACTTGCTGCGCTCAGGGGGGTAATTTTTCACACTCCTGAGCCAGCAAGTTAGAGCTCTATAAAATGTAAGTGCAGACAAGCCCTCAGTGCCCTGACTTCAAGAAGCTTCAGGTGCAGATGCATGTAGGTGCAGGCATGTAGCCTGTAGTCCTATCTCCAGGCCCTCTGAACCCATCAGAGCTGTGCAGCACACTGTCCCTCACCTTCTCAATGGAGCTGATAGTGACACCAGCAGCACATGAGACCACGATGTGGCGATTCTCTATGTCTGAGCCAATCTCGTCCAGAATGAAGGGAATGATGGGAGGTTTCACGGCCAGGAACAGGACATCGCTGTTTTTAACTGTTTCCTTGTTACTTATAGTAAAGTTTACACCTATTTTCTGGAATAATTTGAAAGTTAAATAGCAATAGCACCTCATTCCTAGTACTTTCCTTGCATTCTCAGCTCTTAGAAATGGCATTTGGGATCAGGATTCAGCCAAGCTGGGTCAGCCACCAGCAGAGAATAATCTTGTTCACTAGGCGTCATCCAGAGACAGACTTGATCAGGAGGAGAGTACAGCAGTAACCCACTGAGAACAGGACAGTTTGTTTTTTTAGTTACCATAGGGGGAAGAAGCAAAGTTACATCCCCAACCTTTATAGCTCATGATCAGTTCCACATTGCACTTTCACTGTAGTGCAGTCATGCACTTTGAACATGTAACTATCATAGGCGCCAACTCCGTGGGTGCTCCGGGGCTGGAGCACCCACAGAAAAAATTGGTAGGTGCTCAGCACCCACCGGCAGCTCCCTGTGGCCCGGCCTGGCCCCGCCCCCCTGCTCCAGCTCACCTCCGCCTCCTCTGCGAGCACACCGCTGCATCCTGCTTCTTCCCCCTCCCCCCCAGCACTTGTGCCGCAAAACAGCTGATTCGCGGGGCAGGGAGGGAGGGGGAACACTCGCTGAGGGAAGAGGCGGGGCTGGGGCGGGGATTTGGGGAAGGGCTCCAATAGGGGCAGGGAGGGGGCAGAGTTAGGGCAGTGACTTTGGGGATGGGGTCGGAATGGGGGCAGGGGTGGGGATGGGGTGGAGTCGGGGCAGGACCTGGGGCGGGGGGGCACCCCACCAGCGCTGGAGAAAGTTGGCGCCTATGATAACTATTGACTCTATTTGTACCTTCAGATTCCCAGAGTGGTTCTCAATTAGCTTCTCTGGGCAAGAAACTCTTTGCCCCAAAGATGGGAACCACTCACCTTTTGTGGCTCTGTGTGCACTGCTGGCAATAAGTGAACCCAATTGCCAATGGCAGGAAGTTCAGATGCGAGACGATTCAGATCCAAGAATCTTATTGAGCCAAGCAGAGAAAACAACATGCAATATAGGAGTCCTACTTGTAGGACTTATAGGAGTTAAACATAGGAGTCCTACTTGTGGCCACTGCAAACCTATTGAGATCTTTATGGGATTTCTGTGGGTAGGAATTTGGATCTTACAAACACTAGAACTTACCCTCAGTCCAGATACAGTTGGGAGGTCAGTGTCTGGGGAACTTGCTGTGATCTTATGAGCAGCCAAAATCCCTAGGAAAGGGACAGGTAACTTCAGTTTGGGTTCCATGTGTCCTGCTTACCCCAGAGCTTCTTCGCTGTTATTTGTCCAGGTCATTCTGAACTTGGTCATTCCCCCACCCTTACGTTGTCCCCTCACAACGCCGCTCTTCTTCTGGCTCAGCGACGTAAATACTGACCCTAATGTCTCTCTACTAAAGAGCTCTCCCATTCTCAGACTCTCAAGAACCCTGGGCCTTAGGGATGAAATACACACATTTGCTTCACACCAACGGGGCAGTTTTAATTCACACCTTGTGTTATTTCCGTGCAAGTCTCTGTGTGGGGACATGTACTTTGGTATACACGTGTCACATGTAAGTTTTGCTGACAGCTTCTACCATGTTCTTTACACCCCCCAGAGGCCTCCCCGCCATTGTTTCCATCTCTCAGCTGCGTCTCCCCCAGATCCCTGGGACAGATCCCAGATCCCCCAGATCCC